CCACACTCAAAATCACATCTTCATATTCTGATCATACCCTTATTTGAAACATTCAGTTCAGTTCAGTCGCTCAGTCGTGTCTGACTCTTTGCGACCTCATGAATCGCAGCATGCCAGGCCTCCCTGTTCATCACAAACTCCCGGAGTTTACTCAAACTCATGCCCATCAAGTCGGTGATGCCATCCAGCCATCTCATCCTCTGTCATCCCCTTCTCCTCCTGCCCCCAATCCCTCCCAGGATCAGGGTCTTATTTGAAACATTACCTCTGTTAATTCATAACACAGTAACAGTACACTGCAGTGATTAAGAGTCACTGAGTCCTGAAAACAGACTGCAGGGGTTCAAATCCTGGCTGTTTCCATTCCCAGCTACATATCCTTAGCCAAGTTACCTAACCTCTGTACCTATATCATCTGTAAAATTTTGGTAATAATAAGATTTACCTTCCAGAGTTGTTGTGAGAGTTATATGAATAATAGATATAGTCAGAACACTTTGGAGCCCATAGTAAAGCCTCAGAAAATGTTAGCTATTATTATCACTACCTTTATCATCATCATCATCACATTAATCCCAAGTTCTGAAAGAAAGGCAGAAATATGAAATGACTTATCTAAATCACAAACAAGTGGCAAAATGCAATAAGAAAAATCTCATTTTAAATCCTGAAGTTTAACATTAAAAGTTACTCATTCCCTAAGCAACGGGATTTTCCAACCTCTAATTCTCCAGTAATTCACGAGGCTCCTTTAAGTTAGAAGAGCAGCATAAAGAAGTGGAAATAGCAACAGATATGCACTAAGATGATCTAATTACTCCATCAATGACTTCATCTTGGGCAAGTCACCTAAGCTAAACTTCAAATTGCTCACCTTAAAAAACACTTTGCCTACCTCACAGGGCTGCTGCCTGATAAACGGATAATACATGAGAAAACATACATAAGCCATAAACACACTATATCAATGTTCATGAGCCATGTGATACTCATCTTTATATCCCCAATGCCTAGCAGCACACACAGCAGAGGTTACAATTTAAAAGAAAGCCATAAGAGGGATGGAGTTGACAGGGTGAGGATTACAGTGATAAAAGAGTAAGAAACTCAAATGTCCATCAACTGATAAGTGGAGAAATAAAAGGCAGTAGAGCCAGAAGATGGAATCGTGCTGGTGGTTAGTCATGCCCAACTCTTTGCAACCCCATGGACTGCAGCCCCCCAGGCTCCTCTGTCCATGGGATTTACAGGCAAGTATCCTGGAATGGGTTATTATTTCCTCCTCCAGGGGATCTTCCTGACCCAGAGATTGAACCCACATCACCTGCTATGGCAGGTGGATATTTTACCACTGCACCACCTGGGAAGTTCCATACAACAGAATATTCAACAATAAAAAGGAATGAGGTATTGACACATAATACAAAAATGAATAACCTTTGAAACACTACGCTAAGTGAAAAAAGTCAGACACAAAAGACCATGAGTTGTATGATCCCATTTAAACAGAATGTTCAGAATAGACACATCTACAGAAATGTTAAGTACATTAGCACTTGCTTAGGACTGGGGAATGAAGGGGAAATGGACAGTGACAGCTAATGGATTCAGACTTTCTCTTTTGGGATGATGTCTGTGATGAAGGCTGCACAATTTGGCGAATACAATAAAAGCCACTGAACTATACACTTCAAATGGGTGAAGTGTATAGTATGTGAATTACGTCAATAAAACTTTTAAAAAAGAAAAATAAGTTCGAGAGAAGCTTTAAAGTATAATATCACTGGCTTTAAAACACAAGGTTGTTTCTTTTTCAAAGAAAAAAAAGTGAGTTTTCTAATATTTGAGCAGCTCTGACATGTGGACAAGAATGAGACTGAAGGAAACATCAGGAGAAAATACTAAGAATTACCACACCAGACCATAACATCTCTACAACACCTTCTATAGAAAACAAATCTGGGTGCACTGGGAAGACCCAGGGTGGAGAGGGAGGTGGGAGGGGGGACCGGGATGGGGAATACATGTAAATCCATGGCTAATTCATCTCAATGTATGACAAAAACCACTGCAATGATGTAAAGTAATTAGCCTCCAACTAATAAAAATAAATGAAAAAAAAAAAAAAAACAAATCTGGAACCTCTTATCCTTCCTTTCAAAATTCTCAGGTTACAAATCACCTCCTGGTCCCAATTCAAAAGCCTTTTCATCATGATCATTGTTTCTGAACTTTAAGACTGCATTTGATACTGTCTACCATATTACCCTTCCTATTTTTTCCTATCCTTGGCTTCTGTGGCACTGATGTACTTCCTGGTTCTTCTCAGAAATGCTTTATCTATTAGCCTATAATGTCACCCACAGTTCCAAACCTCAAAGCTCTTTTGCCATCATACTACTAACCTTCCAACATTCATCTATTCATTTTTTTTTTAAACTACCAAATACAGCCCTGCTCAATATACAATCTACATTTCATATCATCTTATAGTGATACACTACAGGATTACTCTATTCAAATCTTGATTATCTTTGCTAAGGTTGGAAAGCAGTGGTATGGCTCAACCAAAATAATTCCCATACGTTTTTTCTTTTGAGCAGATCTGTTTTTCTGATTGTTTCGCTTAGACTAATACTAAACTAGCCTACACTTCTGGAGTCAAACCAGCAAGGAAAAAAGACTATCAGGAGTTGAAGGAGGCTAATCTTTTATTGAAAAATTGATTGTATACACTCTAAGTGCTGACCATTACTCACCCTGGCTCATTTATCTTTATAGTGACACTTTCCTAATTTCCTCATCATTATCAGCCAGTCTCCCAAAATTCTAGCCTTTAATCTTTTAATGTTTAGTTCACCCTCTTTCCTTGGCACACATTCAGGTATCACTAAGTTCAAATTAATTTTTACTCAAACAAACATTCTCTTACATATTCTATACATTTTTTCACAGGACAGTATAATTTAAAGACTAAATGCATAAGCTCAAAGGCAGAACTGCCTGGATTCAAATTCTGGCTCTGCTGCTTACCCTCTATGGGATTTAGGGCAAATTACTTAACCTTTCTGTAACTGTTTCTTCATAGTGATAATAACACCTTATTATAAAGATTTTAGGAGTTAAATACATGTATATAGTTTAAAACACTGTGCCTGGCATACAGTACTCTATAAATGCTAGTTACTGTTTTATTCCAAACATCACCATTTTATCTCAGACCCTCATCAGCTTATTCCTAAAATTCTTCAAGAGCCTTCTAGTCAGTCTTCCTGCTCCAGAATGCTCAACTAATTATGAAAATCTTCCTCAGGAATAATATGCTTCATCTTACTCCCAATCTTTAGAATTCACTGTGGTACTCCATCAAATTAAACTATATATCCTTACTAAGGTCCTCCATCAATACCTACTCTACCAAGCCTAAACTCATTTATTATTATAATTCACCAATAAGATGCTCTATGCCAATCAAGTTGCTCCATATCTTCTGTACTGATACACTGTCGGTGTATGTCTTGGTAAATACCCCTTCACTCTCCTGGAATACATCTCTTGCCTTTTGAAAATTTCAATTTCTCCAAATCACTCTATACCTTTGATTTTGGCTACACTGTTATCCCAACCAGGAGCTTGATGTTGCATGGAATTCTGAATGATGCATGTTATATGTTCTTTCCCCAACAAAAGTGAAAGGAGACCACATATTTTATTTCCTGTGTCTCTTCATACATAGCACAGTATTTTGCAGAAGTACACAAATACTGACTTAATAAATATGCCTCAGAATGTATCAGAACAACACTCTTATCTTCCACTGCCCCACCCATAGTTAGCATAGTGAGGGCAGATAGAATCTGTCTTTAAGTATTTTTATTTTACATACACAGAAGGAGAGTATACTAACAACTGTACCGGATTAAAAACAAAAAACTCAAAGAGAATCATCGAAATCACCAGACCTCATCCAAAAACATACCTAATAAAAGCATGAGGAAGCCCTCATATCTTCAGCAACACAAAACCAAAAACAAGATTCATCTTAACTTCAAGAAACACAAAAAGAAAACAGAAACCTAAAAAAAATTTTAATTCAATCAAATCTCTAGATACTACCCAAACATAAAAATGAAGCGGAGCTCACTGCTCATCTATAAACATCTGCTTATAGCCTAGGAGAAATAAAAGGCTTCCCTCATTGCTACTGTGGCCCGTTCCCTGTTAAGGGAGCAATCTATGGTCATAAAAGAGCAAAACACGGCAAGATGGAAACCTGAACCTGGAAGAGACATTAAGGAAAGAAATTACTCAAAATACATGTTTCAAAAACCAGAGAATACAATGATACTCAATAGAAAGAGAGGGAAAGTGAAATAAAAAAGCACCCACGAAATGAGTGACTCACTGAAACTTATCTAGTGCTGCCGTGCAAGTAAAGAGCTATGCATATAACATTCATGACATGCACACCTGTTTCACTGGCAAACAAAACAAATAAAATAAATGTCAGAAAAAGACAAGGTAGATGCCCCATCAATCTCTAACTCCCTGGTCAATCCAACTCAGCTCATTCAGGAATCCAACCAGGAACAACAGAGACGTGGATTGCACAATACAGAAAAGAAAAATCTTCGCCAACCACACACAAAAAAGTAGAACGGAGAAGTGAAAACTATACACCTCAACGCATCAGCTGCTAGAGCTTATTATTCTCTTTAGGATTAAACTGTAGAGAAAAGAACAAGAGCAGCTCAAGGAAGAGGGGGAAATGTCAATGAAACTACGTCCCTTACTGGTCTCAATCTCAGAGTGCAAGTCTTGCTTCTTCCAGCTGACCAACCGTCGGCCTCTGCACAGCAAATTGACCCTAACACCTTCCACGCCACCCGGAGAAAATCACAGAGGAAAAAACCAGCCCGCTTTAACCTCCGTCCTCACCAGCTGCAAACTGGAGGGGGGTTGGCGGCGGGGGGGGGGGGGGGGCGGGGGAGACACCCTACCACGTGGGCAGGATGCAACACACACAGGACAGCAACACGTCCGCATGGAACTGCTGCCTCTGCCCAATGCCGATAGAGGACACGGCGACAGGATGGGTGGGAACACAGGCCCCCCGCACGGGCCTTCCCACCCCGAAGGGCACCCCCGACGCGCGAGGTGCTGGCCGCTTCGCCAGCCAAAAAGCACCCCGGAGCTTGAAGGGAAGAAGCTGCATCGCGCTGGGGGAGGGGGGCTAGCCCAGGCCAGGGGCAGGTTACGGAGAAAAGACGGCGGCCACTGTCCTCGGACTCGAGGCCCCGGGAATCCCGTCTAGCTCCCTCGGGCCCCGCCTGGGGGAGGGGCGGGAGGCGCGGAGCCGCCGCTTCCCTGCTGAGGGGCAGCAGCAGCTGAGAAGCGCCGCGGGGGAGGGAGGAACCCAGCCCTAGCCGCTCGCCGGGCCTCAACCTGGGCCCAGGCCCCCTGCCCCGCCTGCCGCCCGCCGCCCGCCCCGCGACGCGGCCGCAGCTGTGAGAACGGACAGGACGTCTCGCGGAGGGCAGCCCCTGCCTCCGTCCCGGGAGATGCCCCGGCCCCGCCTCCTCGCCCGCCGCCCCGGCCCGACCGCCCCGGCGGCGGGCGCTCACCTCAGGCTGCGCAGGCCGGGACGGCCCGGCCGAGCCCCCGGCCGCTGTGTGCGTCTCCGCCCCCCGGGAAACGTCCCAACGGCGCCTGGTGCGAGCCGCTGAGGCCCGGAGCAGCGCCGAGAGCGGCGGCGGCAGCGGGAGCAGCCAACATCCGGGGCCGCACACCCGGAACTACTTCCCGACCAGGTCCCCCTCCCGCCGCCGCCGCCGCCGCCCCCGCCTCCCGCGACGTCGCTGCGCCACCGGTACGGCGTCGGCGGCGTCACTGCCCCTTGGCTGTCACGGCCGCGGCTATGAGCGCGAGATCCTTCCGCTGGAGCAAATAGTACCCTGGGACTCCTGGCCGGGGCGGGGGGGGGGGTCCTCCTTCCGCGAAGCGGCTGTCAGGCAGCCGCAGACAGCTCCGAGCGACTTGTTGAGGCGGGGAGTAGCGGGTTCTCTGTCCCTCAGAGTGGCGGCCAGGGAGTGAGGGCAGTGGGAGCGGCTCTTTAGTTGAGGACAAGAGGGACCTCCGCCTTGAATCCTCCCCAGGGACTCCGGGGCCCTGTGTCCCGGGGGAAGGGCGCCTTGCGACTTTCCCCCAAGCTCCCTTCACCTCACCGTAGCAACAGGTACCTTAGCCTCTTCGGGACACCGGTCACCGCGGCTTCTACGGCCCCAGCAAAAGCACCTTGGACTTTCAGGACACCTCTTCTTCCAGAACTCCACACGTCCCGGGTTCTAGACCCATCTCTGCCGGGTCCTCTCCTGTGCCTCGCCTTGGTTTCCTTCTCTTTAAAACCAAGGAGATGAAGCTTTCAAGACCCTTCTGATTCTTAAGCAGCTGCCCAGGTTATGGTCCTTGCTATCAACAGGTGGAGCACTTAGAAGAGTAGTTGGGCGACTTGTGAACTTTGGAATTTACTTCTACGTCAGTCTTTACTGATTTTTTCTCTAAAGTATCTGCCCTGTAATTTCACGTTTAATTACATTCATACATCGTATTATTTGCCATTGCTTCCTTCGCGTTAGTCACATATAGCACCAAGTATGCTTTTGAACTCTCAGTAGGTGCTCAATATTTGGAAACTCAGATAACTTGTTAGATGAATACTAGGTTGATTGGATAAGATGAAAAGGAGAGGCCTGAGTGAATTCATCTTGGGAACATCTTTTGACGGACGTAGTCTTGTAGTAATCAGATAAAGACTGCAGGTGAAGAGCTGAGTACCCAATAACTTAAGCAAACATTGAACACCTGCCATTTACCAAGCAGTACTAGGCCCTGAGGATTCAAATTACTCCTATGTCCCTTTTATACCTAAGACTCCAGCGAGATTCTGAAGATTAAAAGATTCATTCACTCATCCATCCAACAAATATTTGCTGATCAGGTTGTCAGACCCTATTTTAGTGTTTGGGTTGGATCATTGACTAGAAGCAGGAAGGGGGTGGGAATACCGTTCCAACTTGGAGCTATCATCTTAAGTATAGAGAGAAAGATGATCAACATAACAAGAAAAGAATTTGGTATGATAGAAGGTGTTTAGTGCTATGGAGGAAAAAAAATAGACCAGGGTAAGAGGTATGAGTAAGAGGCATGAAAAAAACTGGAGGAGGAAGGAAGAAAAGTGGGATTTTTTTTTTTAACCTCAACCATTTCTTCATCAATAATTAGTTCATTTACTTCAACTGGACCATGTTAGGTGCTGGGGGGCTTCAGTGAACAATAAACCAGGGTTCTGCCACTGGTAGAGACCACATGCCAGGTGCTTTCACTTGCCCTCATTCAGTGTTTTCACCAAGTCCCTTAGTTAGAACTCCTGTGTTCATCTTTACAGCTGATGAAGTTGAGAACTGGGACTCAAACTCAGTGACTTCTGAGTCCAGCTCCCTTTCCAGCTTCACCTCAGCTGAGAACTCATTTATTTCTGTTTCATGCCTCACCTCTTTCATCAGGTAGACTGATCCATGAGTATAGATGAATGACATTAGATCTGCATTGGGGCAAAAGGGAGGGAGAAAAGAAAATAGGGGAAAAGAGGGGGGACATCAAAAAATTTAGACATGTAGAGCAAAGAAAATGGGTAGCAAAGAAGACTTCAGTTCAGTTGCTCAGTCATGTCCGACTCTTTGCGACCCCATGGACTGCAGCATGCCAGGCCTCCCTGTCCATCACCAATTCCTGGAGTTAACCCAAACTCATGTCCATTGAGTCGGTGATGCCATCCAACCATCTCATCCTCTGTCATCCCCTTCTTCTCCTGCCTTCAATCTTTCCCAGCATCAGGGTCTTTTCTAATGAGTCAGTTCTTTGAATCAGGTGGCCAAAGTATTGGAGCTTCAGCTTCAGCATCAGTCCTTCCAATGAATATTCAGGACTGATTTCCTTTAGGATGGACTGGTTGGATCTCCCTGCAGTCCAAGGGACTCTCAAGAGGCTTCTCCAACACCACAGTTCAAAAGCATCAATTCTTTGGCGCTCAGCTTTCTTTATAGTCCTTTATAGTTTCTTTAAGAAGACTTAGTGGAAGAGAAATGAAGGTAGATTCATAATAGCTTATTCCAATTCCAGTTTTACAGAATGTGATTTTATATAGAACCATCAGGGAGAACCCAATTCATAAGGTGACTTTAATGAGAAACTTGGAAGAAGTGGGGAGTGAGTCATGCAATGGATAGTAAAAAGTGTCCTAGGCAGAAGGAACAGCTAGTGGAAAGGCCCTGAAGTGAAAGTATTTGTGGAAATGTTAGAAATAGTGGAGACCAAGACAACTGGAGCCGGGTAAGCAAATGAAAGAGGAATGGGAGATAAGGTCAGAGAGTGCAGTCTTGTCGGCCACTGTAAGGATCTTGGCTAAAGTGGACACACTACAGGGCTTGGAACAGAGGAGTGATATGATCTGATTTGTGCTTTCAGAAGATCACCCTGGCTATGTGCTAAGAGTAGATAGCAAGTGGACATTGATGGACGCCAGAGGCTCCATTAGTCAGGTGCAAGATAATAGCTTGGACCAAATTGTTAGCAGTGAGTAGGTTAAATAAGATACAGTTTCTGTATTTTAAGAACTCACAGTGTAGTGGAAAGCAGATAAGTAATTACAATACACTGTGATAAGGGAAATAGTATCCTGAAGAAGAGGCCACCCTTGCCAGTTTTTCTGACAGAGGAGTCATCCCCTCTTCTACCAAGTTGCCAAGGGAGTTGAAAGTTCTGTGTTCTTTGTTGGATCACTGGGTGGATCCTTGATAACATAGGTAACATTTGTCTTCTTCCCAGCCTTTCAGGACTTGAAGCCCACTATCATCTGAGTGGTGCTATGAGCAGAGAGTTATTAAAGAACAGTCTGGGTCATGAATTTAAGGAGATGGGCAAAAATGGGATTATCCCTATTTGCCAGAAGAAGAAAACAAGACCAATAGTCAAGGTTTTAACCTGAGACTGGGAATCAAGGTCCTCAAAGTCCCAAACCAGGAATCTCTCTGAGCCACTTGAGTTGAGTCAGCCAGATGATGGAATAAAAGAGTAGAAAGACATTTTGGATAGCTGCCAGAATGGGGTTGGGAGCTTGGAAATCAGCAGCCTTTGAGAAGGAAAGAATCACAAGCCCCAGAATGTCAAAGGCTGAGGACCGCCCTATCCCCTACCCCACCCCCCAAAAGTTGTAAAGACCATAGCATGGAGGGGGGTGGTTCTGGAATAGTAGGGGCAGGGTTAGCAGGTGTAGGTAGGAAAAGCTTAAAGCTCAGACTGGGAAGGGAGACTTGGGTTCTACCTCATGTTTTACATCTTACTTCCTATGTGCCTACATCAAGTTACTTAGTTTCTCTTTGTCTCTATTTCCAGGTGTATTAAATAGGAAAAATAACCATAGCTACATAGGAAAAGAGATCATGCACAAGTTGCCATAAAATAAAGACCCCCAAAGACAGCTACTACTAGGTACAAGATCAAGTACAAGGTACAAGGCACAGAAAAGAGTAGCTGATAGTCTTGGGAGATAAGAGTGGCCTGGAAGGGAGAGTGTGGAGCAGGAGAGCCCTCAGAAAGAAAATGGTACCCAACTCAGGGGATGATCCTTAAGAGAAATGAGATAGAGCTTTTATTGTTTTGTGTTTGCAATCTTTTCCCAGCCTCACCTTTATTATAAATTTCCTGAAAGAAAGTCCCAAACTGGACTGCCACAGCCCTACAAAACCTTAATTCAGCACTGGCAGTGTGTCAATAGCAAGGTGTTCAACACTTCACATGACCCTCAGCCAATTAGACAAATGAGGCTTTACCTGATCCTTTCTCCCTCTTTATTATAAAACGAAAGTAGAAAATAAGGAATGAATTGGCGGTGCTAGTAGTAAAGAACCCACTTGCCAATGCAGGAGGTAAAAGAGGCACAGGTTCGATCCCTGGGTCAGGAAGATCCCTGGAGGAGGGCATGGCAACCCACTCCAGTAGTCTTACCTGGAGAATCCCATGGACAGAGGAGGCTGGCAGGCTACAATCCATAGAGTCACAAAGAGTCAGACATGACCGAAGTGACTTAGCATACACACAAGACCTGCAAAGGGGAGAGAGCCCTTCCCATCATTCCCAGTCCTGGAGGAGCTTTCCAGACTCCCTGGGTATCTTTATATAATACTATATATTTCATGTATTAGATTTCTTAAAAAAAGAAAAGCTATACAGAGGCTACTGGGAGGTTTTTAGCACCATTAACTGCTATTTAATGATACTTGGGTGTTTGGTGTTGGTCACTCTACACACTTAAATAACATTCAATAACCATTTATCAAGCAACTACTCTATAACAGGTATTAGGCTGAACACTATGGAGTCAAGAGGGGCTAAGTAAATTCTGTACCTTCCATGGGCTCCTAGGCTTCTGGAAAAACAGATATGTTAATAGTCAACCCCAGTGCAGTTAGTAGACATTTGTACTTGTGCCACAGGAACAAAGGAAAAGCAAGACTTAACTCTGTCAGGTTGGTTGTGGAGGGGAATACCAAGAGAGCTTCACTCTCATAGGTAAGATTAAGGCCAAGTCTGAATAAATAGGTAGGAGTTTGCCACAGAGACAGAAGCAGGGCTGAGGGTAAAGAAAGAAAATTTGCAGTAGAGGAAGAAAGCTTGTGCAAAGTCAAGGGATTGGGTGGATACAAGAAAAGTAGAGGCCACAGAAATTATAGTCTTAAGAGTGGTCATTAAACATGAATGGCTAATGAAAAGAGCTAACTCATGAATCTAGACCATGTCGCTCTATGTAAACCATCCATAAACTGAGTTCCTGCCCTCTAGGAACTTGGTGTTAACCTCAGATTTTATCACTAAGGCAAAATGTGATCCTTCCCAAACACTCTACTGCTTAATCATTCTCACAAGAAAGAAGTAACTTAAACTATATCTCACCAATAGAAAGTGGAAGGCTAAATCTTTT